AAAAAAACAAAAACAAAAAAACTAAAATGTCTGAAGTAAATAAAACAAAAACATATAATATAAACTTATGTATATATATTAATATAACAGAATTACATATCAGCAGAAGAAAGAGACTAAATAATGGAAGATTTAAAAAAAAACCCAGCAAATAATGTTTTTTTATTTATATATATTTTTTTTTTATTTTTTTCAAAAAACATATTAAATTAATATTTTTTTTGTTAAAAATAATAAAAAAAAAGAAATGTATAGATTGTGCTAGAAAAAATCCAACTTGGGCATCTTGTTATTTCGGTAAAAAACAAAATAAATATATAATTAATATAAATAAAAAAAAAAAAGGAATATTTATTTGCTATGATTGTTCTTCAAAACATAGAGGTTATACACCTACATTTAGTTTTGTTAGGTATAATACAAATAAATATATATATATATATATATATATATATATTAATAAAATATATAGATCAATAGATTTAGATTAATGGAACCGTAAATAAATATTATGTATGTAAAATGGCGGAAATGATAATGCCTTAGAATATTTGAAAAAAAACGGCATAGTATCAGACCAAAATAAGAATATAGACTACAAATAGGCAATCGTATAGAAATATAAGAATGAATTAGTAAGAAAAGTTGAAGCATTATTGCCAAAAATTTAATAATAAGAGAATATTATTATATAATAATAAGATATATAAAACGAAAAAAAATACAAGAAGAAAAATAATAAATCGAAGAAGAAAAATATAGAAGAAAATAAATTTTAGAATAACATCACAAATGCAGCAAACATATAAACATAAAAAATTACTTTCTCAAAGTAAAGAAAAATAATAATAATAAAAATAATAATAAAAAAAAAAAGTATAAAAGAAACTAAAGTTGGAAAAAAGGGAGTAAAAGCATAAAAAATAGATGATTTTGATTTTGATAAACTAGTAATTGATGATGGATTAGGCTCAAATAATGGAGATGGATCAAAAAATACATAGCAAAATAGTTCTCCTTAAATATTAAATAATAATTTTGAGGAATAATAAAAAACTAAAGTTATTTATTAAAATAACTATAATAATGAAGGAAATAGTTAATAAGAAAAATTAAATAAATTAAAATAATAATAAAATGTAAAATCTATATCAAGTTAATAATTCGGATCATAAAATAAGTAATATATATATATATATATATATATATATATTTTTATTTTATTTTTTTAAAAAAAAAGTGAAAATAATTTTGGTAATTTTTAAAAATTCTAAAATACAAATTCTATTTCAAGTAAATAGTTCTATGGAGAACCGGAAGATAATTATAATGAATAAGAAGGAGATTAAAGTATATTATAATTTTCTTTTTTCGTTTTAAAATATATTTTTATTTATATTTTATATTATTATTATATATATATATATATATATATATATATATATATATATATATATATATATATATATATATATATAGAATTAGAAGTTGTAAAAAATATGATTTTTAAAGCAAAAGATAACTTTGATTCTTTAAAAGAAAAAGCTTAAAATTATTTTAATAATTGGAAATGAAAAATGAATATTATTTTTTTTTTAAAAAAAAATAAAAAAAAAATATCATTTTATTTTTAAAATAAATTAGGATTTTTTATTTTTTTTGTTATTATAAATTTTTAATTTTTAATTTTTTAATTTTATTTTATTTTTATTATTTTTTTCGAATAAAAATAAAAAATATATATATATATATTTTTTAATATAATTTGTTTTTTATTTTACATATTTAAAAAAAAAAAAAAGTTATATTTAAACAAAAAAACTTAAATTATAAATATAAAAAATGCAAAAAAACAATAATAACATAGATATTGATACATTAATTGAATAACTGTGAGTTTTATATTTAAAAAGATTAAACTAAATAAATAAAATACCATAATTTAATTAAAAAAATAATATATAAATTATATAAATAGTAATTAGGATAAACAATATATTGAACAAAGAGCTAAAGAAAGACAATCATAATATAACTAAGCAATATAAAGTTATAAGAAGTAAAAAATAAATAAAATAAAAAATAAAAATATAAAAAGAAATTTATAAAAAGAAGAAGAGTTTTTAGATAAAACAAAGTAAAAAAAATTTTATTTTAAATAAAATTTAATAAAACAATAAAAAAGACATATTTATAAATAACGAAATAATGAATTAAAAGACTAAATGATTAATGTATATATGCGATATAATACAAGTTCGGAACGTATAATAAGATCAATGAAGAAAACAGTAGTAGAAAAAATAAGAATGAATGATTTATTACAAAAAGCTTATCCAAAGCAGTTAAAAAATAAAAAAGATTAAAAATAAATATATATATATATAAAAAAAAAGTATTGAATCTTAATCCAAAAATATAGCTTAAAAATAATAAAATTTACAATAAAGACTTGATGTATAAAATATTAAAATTAACTTTTTAATTTCTTTTAATAAAAAAAAAAAAAAATAGAAAATTAAACATATAAATAGATAACCTAGTATTAATCTTTACAAAATTCTAAAAGAAAGATATGAAGGACTTTAACATTTAGAACCTATTTATTAATATAGGGATAATTTAGAAAAAAATGTACTTGAAATAAGAAAAGTACTAATTCCTTAAGAAGAAAATTCAATTAAAAGTTATGAAAATTAACTGGATAAGAAATTCAGAGAGACATTTAAAAATTTATATGGAATTTAATAAGAAGAGAAATAAAAAAATGTATATTTATTTTTTTGAATTCATAATATATATAATATATGTATATGTAAATATATAGAAGGAATATTAATAGGAGTTTTATCTAAACGATAACATTTAAAGAACCTTAAAAAATACTCATTAAAAATTAGATAATTATACAAATAATACTTAACCTTCAATAGAAATTAAAGAAAGTCTTTTGGATAATTTTTTAATGAAAAAAGGAGGAAATTTATAAAATTATAATCAGGAAAAAATCTAAATATTTTATGACTCGAGGGAATAATTTCTTTTATAAAATTAAAATGATAAGATTTGTTATAATACAAATCAAATAAATAAAATTGATAATATTAATTATCCTATTACTACATTAAAGAAATAAAAATATGAATGATTTTTATATATTTGATAATTTTAAACAATAAAGCTATAAATATACTTTTTTATTAAAATTATTAATAATTCTTAATTAGTTTATATATTATTATAAATTAAATTAAAAAAAAAGAATTACAATTTTTCCACTTAAACTTTTTAATACAGTTTAACATATATAATATATAATTATTTATATTTATTTTTGTTTAAAAAATAAATTAATTAATTGAAAATTTCATATTATTAGTATTTTTATAATTATCCAAAACGAACATCTAATTTATAAAAGAATATATAGCCTCCAATTTGAAAATTTAAACCAAAAATAAAGTCATTAATTAACCATATATACACATAATATGTTTAAATAGTTTATATCATATTCATTATTATATATATTTAATCTTTTATTCATTAAAAATATTATACAAATATATTTATATTAATCATAAAATAAATATAAAAAAATATATATTGTAAGTTTATATACATAAAAATATTAATTTTTTCAAAATATTTATTTAAAATGTTATTTATTTATCAAAAATAATTCTTATAATTTTTAATTGTCATTAATTTATATTATTTTAACATTTGTATTTTTATTAATAATTATATAATATTAAATTATTATGAACTTAGTTTTTATAAATAAAAAAAACATTAATTTAATTTTTATATCAATATGTTTGAGTTAATTCTATAAAGTAAAAATAAAATAAATAATTTTTTTTTAGTATATTCTTTATACAATTAATATTCTCAATTTTTTTAAAAAAATATTCTAATTTTATATATACCATATATTTTTATTGAGTTTATTTTTTGTTTAATTAAATTTCAAATTAATTAGTATTTATTCGAAAATTATTATTTTTATTTAAAACTTTAAAAAATACATTTTATTTTTTTATTAAAAATAACAAATTTACTTAGTTTAAAAATTTATAAAAAAAGATAAGTAATTTATAATTATAATATATTTAAAATATCTATGAATAAGATTTATATTATTAATTAAATTATAAACATCCTATTATAAATTTATATATATTCTCTATAATTTTTTAATATTTAAAGGTGATTTTAATATAAATTATAAATTTAATTAAAATAATATAGATAATAATCAAAATAAAAAGAACCATTATAAAATATTGTATATCAATTTGAATGGGAATATTTTTAAAAAGTTTAATATTTACGATTTGCTCTAAATGCAAAGAAACAGATTAATAATTTTATAATGTAGTATTCTGCATATGGTAATTTAAAGTATATATAAATCTAGTTTATATAAAAAAAAATGAAAAAAATAAAATAATAACAAATTATACTAAAAAAAATTAAAAAAATTAAAATAATATTTATTCATTTATTAATAATTTTTTAAAAAAGCCTTTGTATTCAATTAATATTTTTCACAATAATGCTTATTTTATGTTTAAGATAAATATACAGAAGAATCATAAATAAGAAAAAGATTTTATGTAAAAAGAGTATGATATTTTTATTTGTGATATTAATTTCAAGCCGTAAAACAAAAGACGAAAAAAATAAAAAAATTATTTATTATCTTTTAATAAAAATTAACAGTTAAAATATTAAAAATCTCACTTTTAGATTATGTCTAAATATTTGAAGTTATAATTTATTTATTTTAATTATTATTTTCGGGAGTTTTTGTTTACTTAATACATAAATTTTAAAAATCAGAAGATGGGAAATCAATAAATTAGCGAAAATTGTAATTTTTTATTTTAAAAATTAAATTAACAAAAAAATATAGATTATTATATGTCTTCTTATTTTTTATTGTACTGTATTTAAGTCTTATGATAATTAGCATTTTGCTAAATTAAGATTAAACACCTTGTTCTGAATCTATAGGTTTAATAATAAGGATTATAGGAACAATATTAGGCTGTTTATTTTTGTTTGTAGGAATAAAGGTTTATAATAAATTTTCAATAAAAAAAATTAATATGATGTCTTTATTAACTATGGATTAAACAAATGGAATTAAAATTTTTGAAGATTAAGAAGACAAATTAGAAAATATATGGTTTTTTTTAAATAAAAAATGATAAACTTATATATATATATTTTTCTTAAAATATAAAGGGGATTGATTATTGTATATTTTATTTCTTAAATAATGACACTTTTAGTAATGATTTATTTTAAAATTTAAATAAATTAAAATTAAAAAAATTGCCATATATTACCTCCAGTATTATTTTTTTATAAAAAAAAATATTAAATTATTTAATTAGAGTTATGTTGAAGAAAATAAGTCTTCTTTAGGAGGAGAAATTGCTTTAAAAAATATTATTGAAGTTTTTACTTTTTTCTTGCCATTAATTTATCTTTATAATTTATTCAAACATAGAACTCCTAGAAATTAAGAATAAAATGATAAAGTTATTTTTAATTATTTTATTTTATTTATTGAATAAATAAAACAAAAAAGACTTAATTTTTAGTATTTAATGGGAATTATATTAATGAATACCAAATTAATAAAAATAAATATTTAAGCTCTAATTAACATAGTAATAATGATATAAGTAATAATAATTCTGTAATTGGATATAGTGATTTTTGAAAATAAATAATAATTATATATATATATTATAAATAAAATTTATATAAATTATTATTTTTATATAAATAAAAAGTTTTAAATATCATATATAAAAAAATTTAAATATCAAAAAAATTAAAAATTTGTGTTTAAAATTGTATTTTGTTTTTAATAATTTTTTATTTATAGAATAATTTTTTTCTTTTAATAAAAATAAGAAAATAAAATAAAACCAAAATAAATAAAAAAATATAAATTAAATAATATAATTTTATATATATATATTAGTTTTTTATATATATAATAGTAATATTTTAATATATATTTTGATTTTAAATAATATTTATTTTAAAATATTTATCAAATATTTTTATATATAATTTTATTTATATATTATATATTACTTTAACAATAAAAAATAAAAGATTAATAAAAAATGGCTTTACCTTGTCTAGAATATTGCATGGCTATATCTTTTTTAGGAATCATATTTTTGGTTTGAAAAAAATTTAATATATATTTCATTTTAAGAAATATTAATAATAAATGCTCAAATAATAAATAATAATTAATTAATTTTTTTAAAAAAAGTTTTATTGGGGATTATTAGTAGCAACTGAATCTGAATTGATGTACGTTCACCCAAAATCAACATTTGATGGTGCAGTTTCTTTATTTTTCGGATCATTTGTATATATTATATATGTTTGTATATATATATAAAAAAAAAATAGATTTATTTATTAATATTCATGATTTGCTATTATTTCAAGTTTTATACAAAAACATAATCTAATGATGTTAGCAGGTAATTAAAACTTAATATAATATAATGAAATAAATATTTAAAAGATATATTGAAAATGCCGAATAAAGGATGTACTAAGAATAATAATAATCAAAATATTAAGAATTAGAAAAGATTTAAACAGGTCATGTTTAATTTAAAGATTAAGAAATAATGGAAGAATAAAAATAATGAATAAATAAAATAAATAATATATTCGTTTTTTTTATAAATTAAAAATACATAATGTTATATTTTATTTTGTTGAATATTTTTTTTTTATATAGACTTTATATTTATTTTTTATAAATAAATTTAAATTTATAATATGTTTCTAAAAAAGATCTTTATAAATTAATTTTTAATGGAAATCGAATATAACTTATATTTGATTATATTTTTATTTATTTTTTTGAAAAAAAAAAATTTCGTTAAATAATTACTTTTGAATTTTATATATATATATATAAAACAAAAAAATATTTACAATTTGTATTAATCATATTCAATTTCATCTATCTTTTATAGATAATTATTGAATAAAATATATTTAAAATATAAAAGCCTAAAACGAATAAAATTAAATAATTTTTTTATAGAAAAAAAGGCTTAGTAATAACATTTTTATTCATAATTCCTATTTTTTAACAAAAAAACAGTTTTAATAGTAAAAACAAAAAGCGAATATTTCTGCTTTTATAAAAAATAATAAAAAATATTAAAATAAATAAATTAAAAACTGAAAAATAAAAAAAACCTTAATTACCAAAAACTATTAAAAATCCGAAAATAGAATAATTACAATACAAACGAATACAAATGAATCTTTTATATAAAAACCGATTATGGGCAATAAATATAAAACTAAATTTTATATGAATTAAAATTTAAAACATATTATGAAAAAAGAAAGGTAATATAAGAAAAAGAAAAAAAGTCTAAAATACAAAAAATATTATAAAAAAAATAAGAAATACTAAAAAGTAAAAAATAATCTAAAAATAAAATAAAAATTGGATTTTCTTAAATAAAAATTAAAAAAACTAAAAAATTCACAAAAATAAAAGAACAGTCTGAAAATTTATTTTTGATATATATTTTATTTATTTTTATAAAATTTAAATAAACGTAATAAATTCTACTAAAAAGAAAAAGATAATCCTAAACACTCAAAATTTTAAAAAATATACTTTTTATTTTTTTAGACTTCTTATATAAAAAAATAAATGGCTTCTTATATAAAAAAATAAATATTTTAAATGATTTCTACGAAAAATAAAGGAAAAAAATGTTATTAAAATAAATTTATAATTTACATAGATTGTTTAATGGCAAATTTCTGTTTAAGAAATATTTAAAATTAAAAAAAAAATGTTTATATATAAAGTATTCAATGAAATATTAAATTATTAAAAATAATAACCAAATTAACCTGATAATTATTTTATTTTATAAACAAAAAACAATTCTAAAAAGTATTAAATTATAGAATAGAAATTATATAATAGATTTATTTTAAAAAACAAAAATATGTATTCAATAAAAACATATATTAAAAAAAACCATAAAAAAAAGAGAAAATAATGATATATAATAAATAAATAATAATAAAACAAATAAATAAAAATATAATTTTAAATTTATTTAAAAAGAATAAATATAAACAAATTTCAAATATGTTTAATTTATATTTAAATGAAATATTTATTTCAAAATGAATATATATATATTTGAAAAAATATGTATTTATTATATATTTAAATTATATATTTAATAATAATAAAAATGTTAAAATTTTGACAAATAAAATTACAAAAAGAAAAAAAAAAAAAAAATTTTTTTGATAATATATATATTGTAAAAATAATAAATATTATATATATATAATAAATATATAAATAAATGTATATATGAAAATATGAATATATTTATATATATTAATTTATTTATATCAAATAAAAAAAATAATATAAATATTTAAATATTTTAAATTGAAATAAATAAATAATATATATATTTATATACATATTTTTTTTTAAATTTATAAAAAATCTTATATTGAAAAAATGTATTATTTTTAATTTTTTTTTAAAAATATAATACAAATCATGTAAATATATTATAAATAATAGAAAATTGAAATGATAATGAAATAAATTTATATATTTATATTAAAAGAAAATTAAGAAAATAAAATAATTTATATTGCATTAGAAATAAAAAAAATATGTATGAAAAAATTATTAAATTTTTTAAGAATTTTTATGTTTTTAATTTAATAAATATATAAAAGTATTTTTATATTTATAATGATTTTATAAAATTATTTTTAAAGGATATATAAATAAAAATATCATTTTTAAAATGACTTTTAATATACAAGAAAATAATTATAATATATATACGTAATAATAAGAAAATAAAAAAAATCAAAAAACAAATCAAATTTTAATTTAAACAAAAAGAAAAGAAAATATTAAAAAAAATTTAATTTAAATTTATATTAAATTAAATTAAAAAAAAAAAAACTATTTTTTTTAAAAAATAAATTCTTCCCTCGTTTTTATTTTTGTTTAATTTATTTCTAATATTATTAATACAAATAATAAATAAATATTTATATAAATATATTTTTATTAAATAATCAAAAAAAAAAAAATATATATAATAAATAAATATAAAAAAATAATTAAATATCTCTAAAAAAACAAAAAATAAAAAAACCAAAAAAATAAATATATAATGCAATAAAAAAGAAAAGGAGCATAATTAAAAGAACAAAATACTTAAAAAAAGCTTAAAAAGCACGAAGAAGATGAAGAAAATGAAGAAGAAGGTAATTTTATCATAAATTTATATATTTAAGCAAAAAAAAAAAAATAATATAAAAATAAAATTATAAAATAAAAATAATAAAAGATTAATAAAATATATATTAACAAAATTAAAAAAAAAAATAAAAAAAAAAAAATTAGAAGAAGAAGAAGAAGTACATGAACATTAAAACTTGAAATAAAAAGGAAAATAAGCCCAAGAAGAAGATGAAAATGAAGAAGATGATGACTAAGATGATGATGAAGATGATGATGATGATGATGAAAATGATGATGATGATGAGGATAATGATAATGATGATGATGAGGACGATGATGATGATGATGATGATGAAGAAGATGATGATGATGATGATGAAGATGACGATGAAGAAGAAAATGGTTAATAAAAAAATTAATAAGATTAAGATGAAGATGATGATGAAGATGATGATGATGAAGATGATGAATGATATAAAAAATTATTTCATTTTTTGATAAAAAAAAATTATTTTAGATTTTTTTTTTTGTGTTATTTTTTTATATTTTTAAATTTACCTATTATAATTAATTTTTCTTTTTAACTTTTAATAGTTTTTTTCAAATTATTATAATTTACCGCTTATTAGGTAAAAATATGAATAATTTTAAAAATATAAATAAAAATATGTAAAATATAATTAAAATAAATATATAAATAATTGTATCAAATATAATAAAAAATTATAATAAATATTTATATTTATTTATAAATTATATAATATTTTTTCTAAAATAATTATATAAAATATAAAATTATATATATTATAAATGATATTTTTAGAAATTGCATATTTTAATTATATTTTTTTATTTAACTTTAATAAATTATTTGTTTATTACGATTTTTGTAATATTTTTAAAATAAATAATAATATATGTAATTTATAAATATTTATATATTTAAATATATATACATTATAATGTTTTTAATTTTTATTTAATAAATAATATATATTTTTTTATTTTTATTTTATATCATAATTATTATGTTTATTAAAATTCATTATCTCATATTTTTTCTTATTTAAATATTTTTAACATTTTTTTTTTTTTTATATATTTTTTTCTTTTATATATAAAATAAATAATTAATATGTTTATTTTTTATTTTTTTATATTAATGTTAAATATTTTTTTTAATATTAATAATTAATAAATATAATATTAATCTGTTAAATAAACACCAACACATTAAAAAATCAAACATTAAAAGAAGTATTAATTTATTATTTATTTCTAATTTTATGTTTTTAATTATAATTTGAGCTATAATACTAAATGATATTTCTATTTTACCTAAACTAATCTAGAGTTTAATCCGAATGTAAAATACTAACAACTTCTGCCAATAATTTTGCCACAGACAAGTATTAAATCTTTGGATTCTATGGTTTTACCTCTTCTAATGAATTAGTAACAATACATTCTTCAATAAAGCTATTTTTAATTCTTTTTTAAGCTTATTAAGTTAGTAATCCATGCGGTGAGAACCAAAAAATTCTTTTAGCACCTAAATTTTTTAATTTAAAAGACGCATTTTGTAGACAATTTCCTGTATCTATTAAATTATCAAAGAGTACACAATCTTTCCCTTATACTTCATCTCCTATATATTCAAATGATACTCCTTCATCGTTTGTTCCCATTACATATTTTTCCATAAATCCAATTCCTGTCTCTACTTCGAATTCTTTGAAGGCTTTTTGTAATTAAACTATTCTTTTTACACTTCGTGCTTTTATATGAGAAGAAATTAAAACTGGATTCTTTACTTATTTTTCTAATAAATATGGAACAACCATTTCATTCACGTCTATATTCAAAAGAGGGGTCCTTGGAGAAAAAAAACCCTTTACTTCTTATTAATTGTGGTTTATTGTCACAATTTGGTCACATCCCATTTATTCTAGCATTAAACAAATATCACTACCGGCTAAAGATTTCCTGTCTTTTCCGTATTCTTGAGACGTTTATCTAGAATAGGCAAAATATGGAATAATACAAGTCACTTTAGAAGCCCCAGAACGCTTTAAAGTGGAACACATCAAAAAAAGTTCCATTATGTTATCATGAATAGGCTAACACATTGATTATATTATATAAACTCGCTTTCCTCGAACAGAATCTAGGAGTTCCATTTACAATTCCGTTTCAGGATTTTTATGTATAGAAAATCGACCCAACGTAATGTCTAAATGAGAAACTATTTCTTTTGCTAATTCTTTATTTCCAGATCCTGCGAAAACTATTAAATCGGAACTTTTTATTATTCCTTATAGTTTTGATGTGGGAACTTCAATATCGTTTTCGTTAAATTAATCTTTTTCCTATTATTTTGGGCTATTTTAGTCTGCTTATTAATAGAATGTATATACTTTTTAAAAAGGATTTGTATATTAGTATATGAATAAAGAACCGAAAGCTAACGTGGTTATATATCTAGATTTTTTAATGTATTTATATAGTGTTTATAAGTTCATAATTTTATTTTAAAAAAAATAAAAATGTATATATTTATTATTTATATATATAAAAATTTTAATTTATTTTTTTATTTGTTTTTATATTAATATTTATTTTATTTATTTTTATTTTATAATAAATGCAATTTAATAGTAAATATTTTTTTTTTATTTTATATTATGGGAATATATTAATCTTATAAAAATTTTTTTAAGAGATATTTTTTATTAAAATATAATGAGAAAATATGTAATTTTTTTGTTTTAAATATCTTATTATTGTTTTTATTTTCATAGTACATATATATATTTTTATAAATCATATAATAAATATTAAAGTATTCAATTTAATCTTATTTAATATTATTAATAAGAGCAATTAATAAATCTAATATATAGGGTTTTAGAAGATCAAAATAAAGAATTAATATATAAATGAAGTAAACTTACTTTTTTAAAAAGGATAAAAATGGAGAAACATTATAGTTCCAATGTCTGAATTTATCTATTTTTATATTTTTTATTAAATAATTACGACAATTATAAACTTAAATTGTTGTTTAACTTTTTTTAGTAACAATTTCAAATAAAAAAATTCTATGGAAATATACTTATATAATAATTTTTTTATTTAAATAAAAAGATAGGTTTTTAATTTAAGGAATACAAATATTCGCTTTTTAGAAACTTTCTTATATGAATTAGGATTTTTAAACAAATTAATTAAAGAATAAAGAAAATTTTTAAAGAACATTACAAAAGAAAGATTAGAAGAAGAAAAGTATTAAAAATAAGATTAAAAACAAACATCCTTAAATTAAATTTTAAATGAAATTTTAACTTATTATGTTAATAAAATAGATTAAAAAGGTTATATATCAGAAATAATGATTTATTATACAATAAATATTATTAAATAAAAAAATAAATATAAAAATTAAAAGAACACAAAACAATTATATAAAGCAAATAAAAACTAATTATAAATAAAAATATAATGTATAAAGAATTTAAATAAAAATATTATATATAAAAAAATATTAAAAAATAATCAAAAAAAAAATTAAATAGATAATTATTTCATTAAAAATATTATTTAAATTTTTAATTATATTAAATTAGATATTAAAAATTAAATAAATATCAAATATATATATAAAATAAAAATGAAAAAAAATATATACAAATTGTAAAAGAATTTTATAAATAAATATGAATTAAAAAAATTAAAATTATAATATAAAATGTATCAATTAAAATTATATTATTATAAAATAAAAACATAAAACATAATTATAAAAAATATAAAATTATAAATAGATATAAAATATAAAAAAATATAGAAATATAATATATATATATTATATATTATATATTATATATTTTTATATATATCATATTTAAATTTATTATTTATTAAATTTAAATTATTTATTTAAATTTAATCTTTTTTTATATATAAATCAAAACAAAAAATTTAATAATATAATATTTTTATAAAATAATTAATTTCTATTAAAATTTTACAAAAATATTCTTATTTATATTTTTTATATCTTAAATAAAAAAATACAGTTACCAAAAAATAAATTAATAATAATTCAAAATAAAATGAAAGTTAAAATTAAATAATGGAATGCAATAGCTACTTGGATATGGGATATTAAAAATGAAGATACATGTGCAATTTGTTAATAACCTTTTGAATCTCCATGCCCAAG